CTTCTCGGCCCTCCAATCGAAATATCCCAAAATTAAAGCACATAAGAGTGATAGCAAACAAGTGCTCGAAGCTAAAAAAAAAAATATTAAAATTCTTTTTTATATATAAATAATAATTAGAATTCACAGATCATATTTTAAAATATATTTATTATTAAGTTTATCAATGTCCTTTAATTTACCGTATTTTTGCAGATTGACTGGAGACAATCAGCATGCCGGAAACCTTGGGGTTACTGGCATGCTGATTAAGCTGCAACTAAAAAATAAAATTAATCAGATCTAACAAAACTACTTGTTAAATAAATGTTAAAAAAAAATATTCTTCCCCTTACAATAAAATAATATCATTGTAATTTGACTAACTGAAGAGTGTTTTAGTTTACAGGGAAATAAAACAATTAGAGGTTTATTGTTGTTAGTAGTAACAATAGTTAGTCAGTGTGGACTGCAACCTACAATCTACCCTGACCCTGAAAGATAACACCTTCCTCTCAAATTTCACAAAAAGCCATGTTAATCCATGTAAATTGTAATAACTTAGAGAGTTTCTGAAATTTCATGCTTATTTTTGCATTTTTGGATCAAATTAAATAAAATAAACATAAAAAAGCACTTTTGACATTCCGCAAGTATTTTACATTGTTAGAAAGAAGACAAAATGGAGAAATTAAATATATAATCATTATTTTGATGCAATGCTGGCAATTTCCTAATTTTAGAATAAAAACTGGCGTCTACGAGTTTCACGTGTCCTCTGGAAAGGTATGTGTAACCTCGCTTAAACCAGCATGCCGATATTTATCTCATAAAAGTATCTGATTTTGTGATGTCCCGGATAGACTGACATGCCAAACAATCCACAAAAATACGGTACGACATTAAAAACTAACTTAAACTAACTTAAAGTTGCTATAAAATCCTGAAGAATAGAAGCACACTGATTTGTGGTAGCATTTCAACCTGCCACAAATTGGGGCACAAATTAATAAAATATCTTTTAATTATATATGAATGAGAGAAGACATTCATCTTTTGTTTTCCTGTTATAAGATAATTGTTGTCTTTATTCACTAATATTTTTTCATATTTTGTATTAGTATCCTTTGCAGTTTGGACCAAACATGATACTTTCATAAGTGCTGTTTATATGACTGAAAAAAAAAATGTAAACTAAGTTTTATCTTTCCTAACAATAAGGGACTGTCCACAAATGACATCTCCACTGAAAGGGTGGAAGAGGATTATGACAAGTTGGATAAAGTCAGACAAGAGGGGAGGGGTTGAGGTTTGGGGAACGTCCATTTTATTTCATTTAATTTTAAACAGTTTATGCATTTTATTATATATATTTCAAAACTTCTTGTATGTTTTGCTTCTACTTATGATATGTCTTGTTCATAAAGTGATAATGGTTTTAAGAGAGTTGAGTTTTGTTGGATGCCTGAAGAGGGGAAGGGATTATGTGAACTTGGACAAACTGGGACAAGGGGAGAGGAGGAATAAAAATTTTAAGAAAAATGTAGACATAATTTATAGACAGCCCCCTAAGTGACAATGTAAATCAACCTTCTAGATAACATGTCACACTAGAAATGTATAAGCTCTAATCCTTAAAATCGAGCACTGTCATGTAGCTTGTTTCATTAACTTTCAATTGTTTCAACCTCTGCTCGATTTTAAGGCTATGTACCCTTCAGTTAAGCTTGAACCATGCTTTTGTCACCTAAGAGATTTTTTATTGGGCAAGGTAGAGAACGCAGCGAAGTTAAGAAAGCAAATTCTAGAACTGGCGCATTTGGCTACATTCTCGTCATTTTTCGCCTTTGACGGTACTGCATACTCGCAGCTTAGAGGAGTACCAATGGGTAGCCCAGTCTCAGGCTTATTGTGGGAGATGGTAATAAGATCTCTGGAAAATAACGTATTGCAGAAATATGAAGATAATATGATAATGTATGCTAGGTACGTCGACGATGTATTTATTATTTGGAATAATAAACCAGACATACGCCAATTTATTAGAGATATAAACAGCAATAATTATGGCCTGAAATTAGAACTAGAGCAGCAAAATCAAAAAAGAATACATTTCTTAGATATAGAGGTCGAAGTAAATGAAGAAGGGGTAATCAATACGAAAGTATATAGAAAGCCAACGTACGTTCTGGATTTGATACCGTGGTCCTCACATGACCCAACAAGCTACAAACTAGCAGCGTTTAGAGCACTAATTAAAAGAGCATACACTCATTGTAGCAGGATTCATGATACGCGTAAAGAGCTTGAATACATCGCAAAGCTAGCAAGAGATGAAGGACTTAAGGAGAACAAAGTAAAAGCCTTAATACGAGCAGAAAAAAGAAGGCAATAAAAATATACATAAAAAGACAGAAAAAGGAGTTCACCGTAATGGAATACAGGGCTCAGTTAAGTAACATATACAGAAAAATAGGATTAGAAAGCAACAAGAAAATAGCATATAAGAGAAACACGAATAAAAGATGTTTGGCTATAGAAAAAGGAAAAAAGATTTATTAAGTAATTAGTGCAAGACCAATTACTTTTCTACGTAGTCAGTACTACAATTAAAGCACTCGTCACAGCACAACTAATTTTTGAATTCCTTTGTCACAGACATCCATAGCCAGTTAGTGACAGCTTTCACCTCGTCATCAATTCCAAAATGTTCAATAACTCTTTCACAGTTTGGTAGAAGTGAAAGTCACCGAGGGACAGTTTGGGACTATACAGAGGGTGGTCAAAAACGTCCCAGTCAAATTTCAGAATCACAGCTTGAGTGTCTGCAGTAGAGTGCACTTGCACATTATCTACTTTGATTAAACATTAAACACCATTTTCTCACACTTGCGTCATTCATAATGTGATTACCATACACTTTCATGATTTGTTTATGAATTTCTAAAGGATAAATTTTTTTTGTGTTTAGAAAAAGAAAAACACTTTACACCTGGCATGATTTTTGATTTTTGTACACATTTTAACCCTTGATAAAACAGTAACAGTAAGCCTGCCATTAGCTTATCACATGTAGAGTTTTGTTAACACAGAACAAATTGACCTCGAATCGATGGTGGTAATTTTCCTGCGCATAGTGCTATGTGCAAATGTTTTTTTATTTGTTGAATGCCCTTGTACTTAACCAATTCTCAATCAGTAATTTTTGTGAAATTTTTGGCAACTAACTGAAGACTGATAAAGTACTATCTTTAATGAACTATCTACAAAAGTCTTATAAATAAAAAAGATACAGATTTGAAACTTTGTCTAATAGTACGACTATTCTTTATATGTTTCTGGTATTCGTTGATGGAATTTACATTGGTAAATTCAGCAAAAACGTTAATATCATTTAAATCTGCTTGTAGGGACTGCTTGAATTCCCAATGCATTCAATACTGTTTATTTTTCTCAATGACTTAATGTTCAACATTAACAATACAACATGATTTGACTATTTGATTACACACTGCATTCGTTCTTTACATAAAAATCATAGAATAGAAAATGGAGTAATTTTCTATGTTAAATTTTACATAGAACATGTTAAATTTTACATAGAATTTCGGTCCAACTCAGAGACAAAAGAGATTTTTAGGTACAAAGAATGTAATTTAACCTGGATATAGTAGTAAAATTACATCAAAGAAGTATTCAAATATCTAGCACAAGTTCTTAGAAACAAGAGAACTTTTTGCAATTGAATATTTCTTGATTCTTGTATTCAAATATTCACATTTTTAGTTGGAAATCACTTTTCATTAAGCTGAGTATGCTTTTACATATGTAAAGTGGTTTACAGTGGAACCCTGGTTAATGAACTTAATACGTTCCGCAACTCCATTCGTTAACCAAAGCAATTTTTCTCATAGAAATTAATGCAAATACAATTTATCCATTCTAGCCTCCAAAATTTTTGACTTTATTTGTAAAATATAGATTTTCTTTGATGAAAACATAGGAAAACATAGTATCTATCATTACGGCAACAAACATGTAAACTTTATTTAATAAAATAGCACTGTACATACTTTAGTTTGTTGTAGTTGGTGGCAGAGGAGTGGAGATATACGGAGCTAAATGCTTAGAAGGGGAATTTCCCTCCAAAACAATAACGGGTAGCACTTCATTGGGAGATTCTTTGAGTCGAGTTCTCTTTTGGTAAGGAACAAGAAATTGATCTAAAGTTGATTGTCTTACTCTTTTAATCAAAATTTTTCTCAAATGTGATAGTGGCAATAGAAAAGAACAATGTGCTATCACTTTTCTCTTTCTTGGATGCCATATTGATTAAATATATAAATCACAAAACTGAAAAAAGAAGTTTATCACAAACACTTGGAAAAGCAATGCTTAACTCGCACATGCCTAACAGCAATTAAAATTTAACAAAAAATGTTATGTTCATTATCCGAATTTCGTCTGTTATCTGAGACAAAATTTTTGCAAAATAAAAGTTCGTTAACTGATTTGGTCATTAACCAGGGAGTTTGTAAACCGGGGTTCCACTGTACTTGGTTATGGCAATGGGATATGTGGACAATCTGCCAAGGAAATGCCACCCGGGAGGACTTTTCATGAAAAACTGACCCCTATTTAGGTATTAGAAACATGAAGAAAATCCAGAAAACTCCACGTGGCCAGCCTGCTGGCAAGATGCAAACCCGCAACCAACTACCAACGCTCGGTTGTTTATCCAATTTGGCCAATGGTAAGCACATACGTAGAAGTGATATTACTGTAAAAATTAATATAACTCTGGCATTTATCTATTGTAGTTTAATGATGAAAAAGCAAAAATATATTAAAATCTGTTCAAAATAGAAAATCATAATCTGATGCCATGTAATTCTGATTTATGTAAGTTTTAATTAATGTATTTCAAAATCTGATTTCTAATTAAAATATACAAACTCACAAACATTGCTATTTTTATTTTCTTTTAAAATCGTAAAAATTTAAATGATAAAAAAATCTACTTACGTGGCTAACGCAATGAAGGGGAATATAGCCACATAATATGCTATACAGATAATACTCAACAGCCAAAATGTTAAAGGAAAATCTTTCACATCTTTAATTCTTATTACTTCTCCTGAATGAAGATAAAATAAATTATGTCTTTGATTATAATTTATTATGTAAAAAATATTATTTATTAAATTATATAGATAACAGATATATATATAACTCCAGATCTTAAATTAAACAAATAAACTAAAACTTTAATTTGAGTAAAACAAATAAATCAATAGGATATGACTAAACTAAAACTTTAAAGATTGGAAAGTGGATAAATTGATGACATCTAAATATTGCTTTAATTGAATGACCTCTCAAAAGAAATTCTATAAATTGAAGAGTTTATTCCATCATCTTTGCTATTGTCAGAATGATATGTATCTAAATACGGAAAAGTGCTAACCTCCAAAGCCAATAAAATAGAAGTATTCAACAACAGGACATGGAAGGGACTAAACCCTTTAACCACTCAGCAATGACCGATGGATATATCCATCAAGGGGGATCGTGTGGCAGTGGCAAAGGACGGATATATCTGCAAAAGAATTTTTTGGATATATCCAAACACTACCGCCAAAAAAACTTCACATAAAAAAAAAATTATGTAACAATAAAAAAAGAATTTTCTTTACTAGACATAACTGTTTACAAAATCTTTTTCTGAAACAGTAATAAGAAAAAAAAAAAACGCATAGAAAAATACTTAAAAATTACCCACATTTATTCTCCGCTACATATGGATAGCACCATACCTGACTAACCCACTGCTGAAAGATTAACCATAAAAAGAAGCATCCAAACTAAAACTAACTCCAGCTATGGAGCTAAACTTCTAAGAAAAAAAGCCCAGAAAACACAAAAAACCTTCAGAAACAATAAACAAAACCATCTCTGCTCTATATCCACAGACAACAAGTAAACTATGATCCCCATTCAAATACTCCTCCTGAAAATAATGTCAACATTGAAAACTAGTTAAAAGTAAGATTAAAGCCCCAAAATTAAAAGATAACTTCCCATTCTATAAAAACAAACCAAATCTTTAGATAAACAACAGCCCCAAAGCTCCAGTCAAAGATCAAAGGCTCATATGAACTAAATGATAAAAATAAAAAAGACAACAGCTTTTATCTGATGACTGCTTTGATCCTTCTTTTAATATTTCTGAAAAGAAAATCTCCACAGTTATAAAAATTTCAGAAAAAAATGCTTTATTTAAATGTACTAAATTCTATAAACATGAACAAAAGAAACCATTCTTAAGCTTTCGAGTATGACATTATTATCGAGAACAGAGCTTCTAAAATCAAATACGATTGCATAGAAATCAAACATAACGTTTCTCAAGATTATACATTATATATTCTTTGAAAATTTGTAAATAAAAGCATTATAGAAATTTTTTTAATCTACAGAATTGTTATAGTAATGGAGAACAAATTTTGAATCTTTATAAGGAAGTTCTTAACTTTCCATAGCACATACAGCCATTGCTTTCTTGGAAATCAAGATGAAAAGATTTTTACCTTCTATAAAATATAGGATAAGATTTGAATAAGTAGATATTTTGGAGTTAAACATGTTAATGGAGCTAAACATTTTAAAAAATATATCACATTACATAAACATACAAAATAATAATCAGAATTGTTTAATTACATAAACTGAAAACTAACCTGTATCATTCGATAAATTTTCAAGGATCTTCTCGGCCCTCCAATCGAAATATCCCAAAATTAAAGCACATAAGAGTGATAGCAAACAAGTGCTCGAAGCTAAAAAAAAAAATATTAAAATTCTTTTTTATATATAAATAATAATTAGAATTCACAGATCATATTTTAAAATATATTTATTATTAAGTTTATCAATGTCCTTTAATTTACCGTATTTTTGCAGATTGACTGGAGACAATCAGCATGCCGGAAACCTTGGGGTTACTGGCATGCTGATTAAGCTGCAACTAAAAAATAAAATTAATCAGATCTAACAAAACTACTTGTTAAATAAATGTTAAAAAAAAATATTCTTCCCCTTACAATAAAATAATATCATTGTAATTTGACTAACTGAAGAGTGTTTTAGTTTACAGGGAAATAAAACAATTAGAGGTTTATTGTTGTTAGTAGTAACAATAGTTAGTCAGTGTGGACTGCAACCTACAATCTACCCTGACCCTGAAAGATAACACCTTCCTCTCAAATTTCACAAAAAGCCATGTTAATCCATGTAAATTGTAATAACTTAGAGAGTTTCTGAAATTTCATGCTTATTTTTGCATTTTTGGATCAAATTAAATAAAATAAACATAAAAAAGCACTTTTGACATTCCGCAAGTATTTTACATTGTTAGAAAGAAGACAAAATGGAGAAATTAAATATATAATCATTATTTTGATGCAATGCTGGCAATTTCCTAATTTTAGAATAAAAACTGGCGTCTACGAGTTTCACGTGTCCTCTGGAAAGGTATGTGTAACCTCGCTTAAACCAGCATGCCGATATTTATCTCATAAAAGTATCTGATTTTGTGATGTCCCGGATAGACTGACATGCCAAACAATCCACAAAAATACGGTACGACATTAAAAACTAACTTAAACTAACTTAAAGTTGCTATAAAATCCTGAAGAATAGAAGCACACTGATTTGTGGTAGCATTTCAACCTGCCACAAATTGGGGCACAAATTAATAAAATATCTTTTAATTATATATGAATGAGAGAAGACATTCATCTTTTGTTTTCCTGTTATAAGATAATTGTTGTCTTTATTCACTAATATTTTTTCATATTTTGTATTAGTATCCTTTGCAGTTTGGACCAAACATGATACTTTCATAAGTGCTGTTTATATGACTGAAAAAAAAAATGTAAACTAAGTTTTATCTTTCCTAACAATAAGGGACTGTCCACAAATGACATCTCCACTGAAAGGGTGGAAGAGGATTATGACAAGTTGGATAAAGTCAGACAAGAGGGGAGGGGTTGAGGTTTGGGGAACGTCCATTTTATTTCATTTAATTTTAAACAGTTTATGCATTTTATTATATATATTTCAAAACTTCTTGTATGTTTTGCTTCTACTTATGATATGTCTTGTTCATAAAGTGATAATGGTTTTAAGAGAGTTGAGTTTTGTTGGATGCCTGAAGAGGGGAAGGGATTATGTGAACTTGGACAANCTGTACACAAAAAAACTTGATTCTATAACCTGGAGTGATTTGTTTAATTTCAGTTGTAATGAAAAAGAAAACTGTTGCTGTAAATAAAGAAATTTACAACTTAACCAAAAACAATTTTAACAGAGAATCATCCAAAAAGACAGGTTGATAGTGAAACTGCTGCCAAGCGTTTCAAATGACAAGGATAGTAATTTCAAAACGACTAGAAAAACAAGGTCGACTGTTTCAAAATATAGCACCTACAGCAACAACAAATAAAATTTAAATTTGTTCTAATAGACTCTTATTTTTGGTGTAAATATCAAATGAAATTAATATAAAATAAATAATTTTACAGCATACAAGGAATTCTCTCTTGTATTTTTTCCTAATAAGCAATTAAACCATGTGATTTTTCAATCGTAAAAAACATCACGGAATGAATACACCACGTAAATCAAGAGCCAACTTTATTTGGTTATATTAGGAAATGTAAATAAAAATTAAAATAGACTCTGATATTTAAGAAGTGTTCCATTCAAAATCAAATATTTGCACTGCTGAATAATGTAGTTTGATCTTGACACAAGAAAACAAACAGACAAAATAAAACACAAAACAGACTGACACACAAACACAAAATAATAATACAGTGGGTGATCGGTTAACGAACAGATAGGTTAATGAACAAATCGGACAACGAACACTTTCGAAAGATTTTTATGATCAGACAACAAACACTTCACTGAACAAACATAAAAAGAAGCAACAGAAATAGCAAATACCAATTGATTTTCCTTTCTCTTCAGGTAACTTTTTGGAGCATGGGAGACGTAAACGTCAACACTCAACCTGATATATACTGATCACATAGTATTCCTCAAACTTTGAAATACTCCCTTGAATTTCCAGCCTTTTATTTTTCTGACAATTCTTTTATAGTATTCGCGAGACTGTCGGGTGGGCACTCGTTAAGTTTTGCGTTCGTTTTTATTTTCAAAAGGTGAGAGTATAATAGCAAAGGTAGACGTACGGCTTGAACAAATATACAGGGCAGTACGGCTTGAACAAATCTACAGTAGGGTGCAGTTCAATCTTATCTAAGAAAGATATTGTATAATTAAGAAAACTCAAGCAGCTAAAGGAGTAACAAATATCGCATCTGAGAAATAAAGAACATTGAACAGCTCATAATGGAACCTGAAATGGATCTGACGACAGAAGAACGCCAAGAACTCTTGAATGAAGAACACCAAGAAACTCTGCGAGATATGTTTTATTATGAAAAAGAGGATTAATGCCGATATCTGCTATTAATTAAAGCTCTTTTGAAGAAGTGGGGGATGTCAGATCAACGATCTTAGAATGGCATACAAAGCAGGTTGAGGTTAATAGGCTTGGGTATCTCTACAATTACAATGCTATTAATTCTGAAAATCCTGAAGAAGAGAGAAAAGCAATCAACATTAGACAAATTATTTAACCCCCACAAACAAAAACACATGAGTAATAAAAATGCAAGTCTGTGTATATATGTATTTTTATTATTACATATAAATAAACGTAGTAAGGAAGTATATATTTTTTTTTTTTTGAGGTCTCCAGAATGAATTAATCAAATTCCCGTACAAACCTATGGTAAATTGATAATCCGGTTAACGAACAATTCGGATAGCGAACAAAGTCTTGGAACAGATTATGTTCGTTAACCGATCACCCACTGTATAAGTAATCAAACATCTTTACATACCCAATAAGATTAAAGCTATCCATCTACCAAAGGCTTGGTAGATGGATAGCTTTAAAATAATAATACAAATGTAATATAATGTACTTAAACATTTTCAAAACTTTTTATATTCAGTTTATTATTTTCTAATTAAATATTTATACTGTAATAAATAACAATAAATAGATACAACAACAATTGCAGTTTAATCTATAAATTTTCAGTTTCTATTCAATCAAATAATATAAATATATTTACTCACCCGAATACAAAACGACCTAATTCCATAAGCCAGAATTTATCTAATACAGCTCCTGCAGCAAATACAAACTGAAATATAATTATTATATTATAATTTATGTATTTTAATATCTATATTATATTACAAATATTATAAAAAATTATTTTAATTTCACATTTAATTTCTTATTAGTTATTATAGAAAAGATACGTCAAATATCTCGGTATCCAAACTCCCAAATTCAAACGAGTACTAAACAACAAATGGCATTGTTTGGTACCCATTGTGATATTGAAATCAAATAATCTTAGTATTATGAAATTTCTTTAAAGTGTATTTATGCAAACTTCAAAAAGTTATACTAATAAGAGTGCTGGAAACAGACTTGCTCCCTCTGTTCTGTGATGTTTGGTAGTGTTGAGTATAGCATGGTGGAGTCGGTAAACAAATAGTCAGACTCCAACCTTTCCCTTTTTTAAAACGTCATACTATGATTCCTTTTATAAGAAATATGCCACAGGGTATCTGAACATTTTTATCAAAACTTCTCTATAAAAAGTAATACGGTGAAACCTCCATTAATGGACACTCCCAAATAGCGGACAAGCCTCTACTTAACGAGCATTTTTACAATCTCCAGGCCCTTCAAACATCTATAATATTTCTCACCCAAAACCTAAAGTCAGGTGTCGGAAAAATTTGCTTCACTAACGTTTTTGGGCTCCTCCGGAGTCCTGCTTCGGGTGAATATTGCCATTTCTTTGATGGAACACCAATTTAAAATAAAAATTTGAATGTTCAAAAATATCAAAATCATATTGAAATATCCACTGAGAGTGGAACAGATTTAAAAATGGGAGGCATTGGATCGTTTGCCTAAACATTATGAAAAATGGAATAAAATGTATGAATATGAGCATGCACCATAGGACCTACGATAACTAAATATTATAATGTCTGTTTGTAAAGAGCCTTCCAAACTGTCGACAGAGAAAGTTCCTCTTTGTAATTAATACACATGCTGTTTAAACTTGCTTTAAAATTTTCTAGAGCCTCCAAGAATCTAAGGCAGTCAGTGCGTTGCGTCATTACCAGGATGCTACAAAAACATCTACAAAATCAGCCATTTTCTTCATTGGAAGTGTGAACAATGGAAGAGACTATCAAACTGGCTTGGTAGCTGTTTCCTGCATGCGCATGTAGAAGCGTCATCTTGTGGTCGCTACACACTAAACGCAGTTACGCCTGCTTGTTGTAATTGATCCCTGTTATGAGGCTCTCTAATTTAATTATGATAAAAGTTGTTTCATTTGAAAATTTGTAATTTTTATTTCCAAGTTAAATAGCTTGGAAATAAATCTCTTATATAGTCTTAAATTCTATAACTTGAAAATGCATAACAAAATAAATATAAACATTATATACGTATTTACTATAATTATTGAATTTCTTAAGAACATTTAATTAATTATTTCAAAAAATATTTTGATTTACATTTAAATATTTATAATAAAAGATTTTTCATAAAGATCTAAATATGCAGATACATCACCAAATTTCTTATAGCCACAGTTCACCATTTGCCAGACAAACCATGGTCATGTATAATAATAATTCAACAAGACAACTCTAACCCACTAATTACGCACCTCCCGTGTATTAAAAGTATACCATAGACTACTAGAAACTTGAATTAAATAAATATTAAAATGTAAATTAAGTTTTGACAACACCACTAACACTCAACTCTCTTAGAAGCCATAGCTAGGGTTAAATTTAAGCAAAATAAACTAGGACTATCAAAAAATTGCAGTATCACCACTAACAAGTGTGGTGTAAACAAAGTAAATTAGTGCATCCCATATGCACCACTGTCTCCGGCCGACCAGTAACCTAGTTCAACGACCATGGAAATTATAACTTTCCTCTCTGGATTAAAGGAGGTGGCAGACCATCAGCTGCCAGAAATTTGATGATGTACCCGTATGTAGTAAATTAAATATATACAGAATTCTTGATTATTCAGGATTGCAACTGGAATGTAAAAAATATCTATTTTTGGGCAAGTCATTAATGGCTGTATTCGCTAACAAAGAGCTGAGTGTTTAGAACTCATACTTGATTGTTTAATCAGCATTCATTTTATTTAACTTTCAACTCTTTGTTGGAAAATACAAGTCATAAGTCATCACAAATTACTTTAAGATTCATCATTACAGTTGTTATTGGCTAAAAATAAGAAGGGGAATCTTCACTTTGCTGAAGTATCCAGTTCATTATGAACAATGCTTACAATTTCTTTGATAATTTACCTATTCTGTGTGATGGGTACAGAATTTAAAATTTTACTAGATTAAATGGGATAATATTTTCCTTTTTATCTTGATTAATCAAGAGTTTACCTTATATAAAAAAACATGTATGATACAAGAAAATTTTTAAATGTTCAAAAAATAAATTTCCTCTATATTTTACTTACTTAAAATTTAAAAACAGATATTACATATACTTACTTGACCAAGTAAAATGAAAAAACAGTAAATAATAGCACCAAAACGAATGCCAAACACCCTATCAATGAGGAAACCTCCGAAAAAGCATAATACAACATTCGGCCACGAATACCATGAATATAAGGACGAAAACTCGGTCGTAGTTACGCTCATGTCTGACAGAATTTGATCCTGAAGTGCAGCCGGATTGTCATAACAAAAATAACTGCCTGTAAAAAAAATTTTTTTTTTTTTCAAAATATAGTAATGAAAATAAAAATTTACAACTTATTATTCAAAGATTCATAAATATGAGACTAACTGACAAAGACTAATATAAAAATAATCTCATTTAATAAGTAACTTCACTCTGTGTTTATGGTGTTCCAGAGATGATTTTCAACTAAAACGCTGTTAATATTTTATATAAAACATTTAGACTATAATATTAAAATTATAATTTATTTTTATAATTTGTTAAATTGCAGTCAATTCTGGAAACTGTTTATCATCATTTATTTAATTTTAAAAATAATACAGACAACTAGTTTTGAAAAACCAGCAATGAGTTGCTTAACTTTCCTGGTAAGATTTGGTGGTGTCATCTATTATGATATTTATTTAAAAGAACTTTACATTTCTAACTATTANGGCACAAAGCTTAATTTTGTGGGGAGGGATGAGTTTTAGAAAAAGTAAATGCTAATAATGAGTAAAATCATCATTAACTTCGACCCTACTAGGGATACACACAACCCCTTTATCTTCCAACCCCGACCTTTAATCACCGAAATTTAATAGCACCAATCTCCTAATACACAAACCTCCCTGCATAATTTCAAAAATTTTCAACAAAAAGCACAGGAGTAATTAAGCTTCGAAGAGGGTGAACAAAATCATGCCATACCCACCCACCCACACTAACATCCATACATACAGAAATTACCCCAAGTTTTTTGCATTTCTCAACATTTCAAGGTCCCAGAGTCCAAAAATGTAAAAATTTGGGAAGGTCGTTTTTTTTTTTGACTGATTGCCATACTTTCCCTGTATTGTGTATAACAGCTGGGAGAGAAAAAATTAAGACACCACGAACTGTAATAAAATAGCACTAGATGGTCTCTAAAAATAAGATTTCATTGAAAGTTTTTCCTCTACAGAAAAAGTTTGAGAAAAGAGCATTTTTTAGATGTACGTTTAACTATTTTTTGAAACAAAAATGTGTCTTAATATGCTTTGCGCATTGAAAAGTCATACTTTCTTTCATACTTTGAGCCTACCAGTGGCCAAGCTGTCTTTGTACCCTGAACACTGGAAGTTCGGTCATGGATTCACGCCTCGCTCGGACGGGCTGGCCATGTGAAGTTTTCTGGGTTTTCTCCACGTCTGTAATGCCTAAATAGGGGCCAGTTTCCCTTAAAAGACCTCCTGAAAGGCATCCCTCTAGGCAGATCACACAAGTGTTGCATTGCCATAACTTAACAAACAAACAATATAAATCTTTCATACTTATACTTTCATTTATAAAAATCACACTAATAAGCAGCAAGCTATCAGCTCATAATTAGATAAAAATAAAAACAACGTTTTCTGATGGGGAAAAAGTAACTAACTAGTAACATTGTATAAAAGTGGCAACAGCTCATGAACTTTGTAAATTATGAATGCTGGAAAAGTAGTACAAGTTATATATTGTGCTATGTTATGAGAAATACTTTATTTTTAAAAAAATTTTTATTGTTAATTATTATAATAAGATAAAGGTTTATTTCGAATAAAAATTATTTTTTAAAAAAACTAAATGCTAATAACCTTCAAAACTTTCATTGACCCCACAATCCCCTCTTTGACCTTTAACTACCAAAATTTAATATGTACAAACGTATATAGAAACCTTCCAAATTTCAAGTTTATGCCAAGTTCTTGGCTCATGCTCCTGAGAAAAAGCTCAGATTTCATTATTAGGTCAGCTTTAAGTATAATCCTTATATATATATATATATAACATACATTCTATGTTCTCTATACATTTCTAAACTTTTGACTAGGGTTTCTCATTTCCTGATCTTTCACTTGTCCTGGGATTCTAAAAGTGAATTCTTGATTTATCTACCTCAACTGCTTTAATAGAAACATGAAGCTTATAGCTCAATAATTTGGCAGTTTGTTTGTCTTTAATAATCAGGTTTATAAAGAAAACTTCATACTTGCAGACTTCATACTCATTTGTATTCTTGCCAAATTTGCCCAACTTGGTGTTACGAAGTTATTGAAGCTACTGGACATGGTTAAAAATTAAATCATCATAAGCACAAGTATTCCAGATATTACAGGTTCTGACAAGTAAAGAATTTTCAGAGTCCTGCCCCAAATAAGCTACGTATTGATTATTGACCATTTATGACATGGCATAACGAGCAAAAATTTAAAATAAACTAATGAGTAGGTTTAAAATTAATAAATACAAATGTATTCTGACAGTTTATGAGTTAATTATGCTTTCTATTTGCAAAATTTCCTCAACCTTAACACAAAATAAAACAAAAGTAAACTTTTAAATTTGCAGGATTTCCCGAAATGAGAATTTCCCAGGTAAAAAAACAACCAGGATCCTGTTTGAGAAACCCTACTTTTGACTGATCTGCACAAAGTTTTCATACTTACTGTGAGATTCAGGAGTTAATTGTTCAATTAATGCTGTGAGAAAAAACCTTTTCCTGATTTACAGTATTTCCGGGAAATCCCACAGGTCTAATAAAGAAAGAATGAGTAAATATTAAGTCAAAAGGTCAACAATTGTTCAGAATTGCCACCAATATCCAATTGTTAATGCATGGAAACATTGACAGTTAAAACTATTCCACAACGAAAAGAGAACAACAAATCTAATTTCCCACTGCCATAGCTGGCCCAGTGACGACACATTCAAAGTGTCATCACAAGACCAAATTCCCACACCTGATGGCTATAATGGCTGCATACCCTATCTTCGGCACGGACAGTCCAAGGAAGACTGACTTAAATGATAGTAGTACCACCATAGTAGCAGGTGACTACCAAGACTCCCATCCCACCATATGCCATGTGGACACTCTCCCCGAAGCCATAACCCAAGGCTAGTTCACCATTCTCCATACAACTGACAACGACCCAATACTCTAAGAGGTCAATGATCATGTACCCAACAGAGGTATTTTAGTATTGTAAACTCTCTCTCTCAGAAGTAGATAGTAACACGGAAACAGTATCCCTATAACTGCATGGCCGAGCATACACTTATTAGCTGTACATTATAATCTGCTTTATTTTTATATTAAATTTGATGTTTCGTTAAAATTGTTGTCGATTCAGTTATTACTCGAAACATGGACCCGTATCAACTTACCCACTGCACTCCCCACTTGACAAATAGCCCTCCTATTTAACCACCATCCAGTGACATCCGGATAAGTTCTCACATTACTCTCTAGAATCCGGTGAAAAATATAGGCTACTATGAAACCATGACACCTTCCCCTCTACTCCAATTTCATCCCCTTGAAACTTTGTGATAAATGTAATAGTTATATTAAAAGTTTGAGTATTTAAGCCTATGGTTTTCATTTTATTCTTTGTCCTCACTTTTTGCACTCAGGAAGTGCTGGCAAATCTATAGTCTTTAATACAGTGGACCCTTGTATAATGTGTTATGAATCATGACCCTAATTTTTTGGCTATTTTGCTGTTATGCTACACAAAACACGTGGTTAATATAATACAGTTTCCTATAATGTGGACATATCCCCCTCATCATATGGGGATCACAGTATTTATAAGTACAGTCGACCTCCCTATAACACTGTTGATAATTTCGTGTTATATGAATTCCACGTTGTACGAGTCACTTAGATTTTACAAATACATGTGGTGCTGGACTGTGAACGGCTCACGTATTTGTAAAATCTAAGTGCCTCGTACAACATGGAATTCATATAACGCAGAATTATCAACAGTGTTATGGGGGGGTTCAACTGTAATCAAATGTATTTAATTACTACTAACAAAATACATTGCACAGATTCAATCAGAAATGGGGTGTAAGACCTAAATCTCATTTCTATAACCAGTCTTAAAATTGTTATTCTTAATATTAGAAGACATTTTTCATATTCTAATATTTGTATAATGTTGAGCTTCATTTACTTTAATGACAATCAATTATTAAATTCATATCTAAATAAAACAAAAAAAGATTCTTAGAAATTTCTTAATTAAAAACAATATATATCATCAATTGAGAAGTAATACAATACAGAAACAAAACAGAAGGAAGAATGTGGATAAAATTAATAATAGAAAGAGAGAGTTTTAAAATTTTAAATCTCTTATATTCTAAATATAAAACACTGCTCTATTTTTAGAATACACATTCGTTTCTATCTGCATTTCTACTAACCTGAAGATGACAGTTTAAAAAGGGAAGAATAACATTTCTTTAAATATATATATATATTATTTGCAGGTTTTTTTTATGTTTAGGCATATTTATTAATAAATTACATCAGTATTGTCGTAGAGACTTTTTATTTAATGACCATTAACTAGAGATACTCACCAAACCAGAAAATCCAGCAGTATAATATTGATTTAATAAAAATGAATGTTTTAGACAAACTTAAGCTGTCATCTTCAAGTTAAACATTTTTCAATCTGAAGATGACAACTTAAGTATGTCGAAAATGTTCATTTTTATTAAATCTACATTATATGATTAACTATTAAATCTTTCAGTTATTTTCCTCCTCAGATTAATTTAAACAACATTAAATAACACAACATGAACAACATTAAAGCTTCTTTTTTGAATTTCTTATCAGTAATCTCTATTGACCAAGTGGTCGGCGTACTAGTTCCATAGAGAACGAGGCCAAAACTCGACAGCGGTTAAAACAAGCTATAGGTACGTGTGGTGCGTGTGTGTGTACGTGAACAGCTGGCAACGTAAACAGGGAGTTATTAAAATGTAAATCATGCACACCAAGCTGTACTAGTCAATTTTATTATAAATCAAATCTGATACTGAAATTATTTAATAGCAGGACGGAGAGTTCACCGAGTTCGGCACTACAATTGCCTTTTTATTGTAATTACTTTCGACGAATTTATAATCGTCGTCGTCGGACGAATAAATATTTTAAAAGAACATACAGAACATTCCGAGAAGAACAGAACACATATTTTCAAATTAAAATATTTGGTAATACCATTAAGAACATGCGACTAATTTCTATAGTTTACTAAGAAATTATTTAAAGTATTAAAAAATTTATCTTGATGAAACGTTAATAATTCCAATTATTAATAAATTTTAATTATAGAAACGTATAACTGTAGAAAGTTCAGTACTGACGAACAGATTAATAGAATTTCATTGTTTTTACTATTTAATGAACTGCAATACAAAGGTTTTTATGTCATTGATTATTACCAAGATTAGATCTGATAGTCATCAGACATAATTTTGCAAATGTTTATAATAATGAAAAGATACTTTAAAATACTTCTTAATTCTTTAAAAAAAAGAAAAATAAAACCAAGAAATCAATAATTATTTATATGTTAATTTTGATAAATAATTCATAGTTTAGCTTATAACCTATCATAATTTATAATATTCTGATAATTAAAATATTGATATTTTACTGTTTATGTTTAGAAAATAAAAATATTTTTTAACTATGATAGCAGTTAAGATTACTTTTTAATCGGAATATCACGTGTATAACAGCCAATGAAATACTCAAAATTGTTCTTTATTTAATGTTTTTGGGATGCTCACCATCTTTAGAATATTGCTATTTATCTAATGCACGAGCATTAGATAAATAGAACGATTTCTAAAAGTTTATCTGATTTATTTAACTTATATAAGATAGAAAAATTAATTAATTCTAAATGTTTTATTAATGTTATTTGTATTATGTGTTAACAAGACAAGTCAAATTATTTAATATATTATAAATGCTGCTTTTTTTATGCATGTCCACAATCCTTTTAGAAAAACTGAATAAATATTTAATTAAAAGAAGGATTTTTTGAATTATTAGAAGTTGTAAATGCACTAAATTTTTATATTTTCTTCTGTCTGATATGATGAGGAGTGATATATTAGACAAAACAGTATACAATAAATATATTCTCCTAATTTATACAGTCAACCCCCTATAAACAAACACTGTTGATAATAATTCTGTTTTATATGAATTCCATGTTGTACGAGTCACTCAGATTTTATAAATACGTGTACGGGCTGTGAACGGCTCACGTATTTGTAAAATTTAAGCGACTCGTACAATATAGAATTCATATAAAACGAAATTATCAACAGTGTTATGGGGGGGGTCGACTGTACTAGAGTTTCACTGAGTTTCCCGAAATCTTTTTTACCATTGACACCTTGAAAGGTTCATAGGCCTTTTACTGATCCCCTCTTCTTTTTTTTGCTTATATAGCTTATACATGTATAATAATAAATAAATCTGGTGAGCTAGTATTAATTTATACACTGTTTTCATAAGAAAGATCTACTTAGCGTGCATATTTACATCATCCTAAATTGTCATATACGTAACTCATTGGACTAAATTATCTTTAATTAACCATTCTCAGTTAGCTCAGAATAATTTTCAACTCCTAAACACACCTCTTCAACAGGGTTGTCTAGAACTGTATGGGGCCAGGGATAGAATGGGTCCCTTTAGCTCCTTAGCAGGCCTTTTTTGTCATTTTCTTTTTTTTTTTTTTTTTTAACAAATGAAAATGTTAAAAAACACATGTGAAATGTGTTATTAAGACAACTAAAACTGGGAATTTTGTTTTCAAAACTGCAGTGAAAAAAATTTATCTGATTTAGGATGATTAATATTGTCTTCAACAACAGAAATAGAAAACTTACTCAAACATACGAATGAAATTTTCTATAAAATAAATACACATATGTATTTTATGGCATACAATAAATGCATAGTGAAATATGATATGTGTAGTGGTATATCTTAAAAGAAAAAGTCATTGTTGCATATTTTTTAATCACCAGAACAAGATATGGAAAAAAATTACTGTTGCAGAGATTTAAATTTATTTGTTACAATATGGAATTCTGTTGCGGCACCTGGAATCTATATATAACACTATTATTATAGTAACTATTATGCACTTTCTTTTACAAGAATACCTTTTATATTTTGAAATATATCTCCATCATCATTTGATTGCAAAGAAACAAATCTGACTTAAAGAATTCTGAGAAAACATCAATAATTACTAAGAAAAACTTTTCTTGACAACACTTACTGTTTTACACTTGTAATCAGTATTGTGACATTTTTTATCAGGTCAAAAACAGTAGCATCGTATAAATCTACATGTGCCATGTTGTACAAATAAGCTTAAAATCTACGCAAAATTTTTTTAATCATCAGAACTACAAAATATGAAAAGTATGTAACAATGACTTTTTCTTTTACGACATACCATGCATAAGATAATATCAAAATTCATCACTTACTTACTGATGAATGTCAGAAAACCTTAGAAACACCCTCTTTCTGACAGTTGTTTCATCTACAAGGTGAATGCTGACAATCACTATTTTTGATATTTTCAGTATTACCAACAACACAAACACATATGGAGAAAAAGAGAAACACGAACATAATTCAGCAGAATACGTAAAATACTCTAACAAAAGCTCACTAGGCCTATATATTCAGAGAAGTTATATTCCATGTTAAGTCACTAAAAGTGGAACATAAAATATTTAGTTAATGAGACCATCTACAACAGTCCAAATTTTACTAGAACAAAGCAACAAATCATTTAGATTATTACGCTAAATTATAATTAAAAAACTTTAATATCTGAAGAATGTTTATTAATGAATGTTACTAAAAACATTTCCATTAACAGCTGTTCATAGATTTCCTCAAATAGTAACAAACATTGAATGCAAGTAGTGATATACAGTATACATATATAATCACTACTATCATCTGTGTAACATCTATTAACATTGCTTTTATTAACAAAAATTTTTCACCAGATACATTTTCATTCTGAAATGAAGCTCGCCGATCCGATATGTTTATTTTAGTTAAGATCAGCAGATCGGAATTTTTGGTATGACATTCAAAACAAAAGTCCACAATCAGAAAACAATCCAAAACGAGGAAAGAACCAGCACAGGACAACACAATGCCAAAAACGAGAGATCCACCGAGAAAGTGGATCTCTCACTTTTGGCATCATATCAGGTGCAATTACACATCTCCACATGGGTACGATTCCATTGTCTTTTTTGCTTGTATGGGGGGGGTCTCTCTCGTTCAGAGTTCACATCTTACCTCGTGTCGTGGGCGTAAGCCAGAGATCCGGCCCAGAAGGCGTATCTCCGGCCAACGTGCGACAGGACTTTCACCTTATCGGCAAAAGTTCCACCGCACATTGCCCAGACAGAGAACAGATCCTACTAGGCCGATACTCCTGCATCAGAAAGTAAAGAAGATGCCAGAGGGGAGGGGAGGGAAGGGAATCGACGGGTACCGAAATTCGAAAAGGATGGTCGACGTCGATGGCACGCGCTAGTCATCGAAACCGATCTATTTCAGTCACGCGACCGATACGGAGACACGCGACAACGCATCATTAACGGATTATTTGTCTCGGAAGAATTTCTTAGGAAACTCACCGAATCCGAGAAAGCACATGAAGACGAGAACCATGTATCTGTGGGCTGCTCTTTTGGGGTCGCACAGGGCGAAGGTAGAGCGAGTGACGGAGGGAGAACGTTTCTCATCTTCGGAAGCATTAATGGCCACCGATCCTTCGTACAGCAGAGGAGTATTTTCGTCGGCCATCTTCGCTCTTCCGGAGACGACGGACTGTCAGCTGGTGTCACGTTGCCAACTCCGACTCCAACCGGGAACGGGATCCGCGACGAATTTATCTGGGCTCGACCTCCCATACGAAGATTCAAATGCAAATATTTATTTTTTATCGAAGATTTCGCTCTTCTCCGTGTAGGAAAGTACGAAATTCGCACATCATCAACTAAATAAAGAAAATTAAATAGAATCGATTATCTGCTCCTTACTTTCCCGGAGGATGGAGATCCGAGACAGACCATCTCCCGAAAAATCCCTCGGGTGTTTCTATCACCTCCCTTATCCCTAGAATGGCGGGTTTAAGCCATCCGGCCAACCCAATCAAGCCAAATCCACATTGGCAGTCGGTTCGGGCGGTAAAGACATCGGCTTACCACTCCTTTCGGGAAGAATCGTGATTTGTCTCGGGCCACCCGTTTTGGATAAGTCTGCCCATTTCTCGTTTATTATCGTGGGCCAAACCCACAATGGGGAGGACGAAAACCGTAATAGGCCTAGAGAAAAGTCCTGGTTTACGAATAGTGGAAAGAGTAAAAAATTTTATAAAGTCTCGAAAGACAAATCAACAATACTTGTGAAAATTATCCCTATAAAGGACCCGTGTTGATCCTACTCATTTGTATTGTTTAAAGGGCACCGGTGTCCGAGTAGACAAAACCACTGAACATTAGTAGTTGATCGCGGGTTCGGGCTTGGCCAACGAGCTGGCCACGTGGAGTTTTCCACTGTTTCTTCACGTTAGTAATACCTAAATAGGGGCCAGTTTCCCATACAACTTTTTTGGGAAAACGTCCTCTCGGCAGATCGCCCGTGTGTCGCGTTGCCGTAAGGAAATAAACCAAAACCTATACTGCTTAATTTATTTCTCTGTTAAAACTTTTGAAACATCAGAATAGAAGATACATTAATTAAACAGTTTCTTTTGTAACCTCCGTTAATTACAATACCACGGCGTGATAGCGCCTTCGTGTAAACTTTTCGACCCGTCTAGGTTCTATTTCGAGTCTCTCAGAGGTTTCAGCCTGCCGCTCTAATAGCTGTTCGGCCATCCGGCCTGGTAGACGAAGTGCAAGAAATATTTCACTCGGAAATAAAAAATAAATTATTTACTATTTGATTTAGACTTAAAAAAAACACGGAAAACATAAAAATAATATTATTTAATTACTGAACGTTAATTATCTATATCCGGTTGCGGATTTATTGCGTATTTAATTTATCGCATCGGTTGGCAACACTTTCAATTAGTTGGCGTCTGCACTCTCGTGGCCACTAGCGACCGTTCTGTAGAAAAAATTCTAATGGTTTCCGTAGACGACGTCATGAATAACAAATTCGAAGCGTAAGTAATTTTGCTCGAACCGATTCCAAAATTATTTTTTAACTTTGTTAATTTCCGGTAAACGTTACGCTTTGGATTTATCCACGTGGTTTTACTTCGCGGAAGTTGTTAAGAAACCAGCGAAATATTTTAAGTGGGTGAGGTGGGTTTTTTTGTAAAGTACGATGTGACAATCGTGCCATTTCCTCGTTACACTCGTGTTTGTATTTTGAAATTACGTCATAATTCATTCTCAAATTTAAATTTGCTGAATGTCTGGTCACGTGTTCGCATCGTTTGAACTTTCTAATCGATTTCATTCATTCGCGGGAAATTGATGACTCTCTTCAGTTCGAATATTTACTATTGTGATGTCGTTTGTTTGGGCCTTGGAGCCCGGAAGGGTCCCTCACTTTCAAATTTCTAAGATGATTTGATGATAAATACTTTCTTGCTGTAATAACTTTTCTGTGGCCCCGAAAAATCTTCTGCGGGCTCTGTTTATTGTAGTACATATCAACTGACCTCATAGCTTGAATAAGTTAGATTTGTTGTAAAAGATTTTGTTTAAATTGGTGGTCTCAAACTCAAACGCGACAAAGGGTCGGTTGAATAGATGTGTGCGTGATGCGTGCCGTATTCAATATTATTCGGTAAACCCAGACGTACTGTGATTAAAAGAAAAGGCTCTGACGAAGGCCCTTTTGTTGCCGGGCCTTTACGACTTACGTAAACAGTTAGACATTTGAATTTCTTCTGTTTTAATCCCCACGAGATGTTAGAAATGTTGATTTTTAGAAATGAAATAGTCTGGGCCAAAGGCCGGATGCGAAGCCTTGATGGGCCGTGTCCATCCGCAGACTGCCTGTTTGTCACCCCCGGTTTAAATCTTCGTGCGACCCAATTTGTATTATTCTTTGCTTTTGTTGTTGAGTGTAATCGTTGGTACAAATATAACTCTGAATGTGGTGGTCGGGTCCTTGTCGGAGACCTTGCCTTTAGGAGTAAAGTCGAAGTAACCGATGGTCAATGTGTGACATTTGCGATATCGCCCTTCTGAAACCCTAATCGTTTGCAGCGATCCTTTTGTTTATTTACCTAAATATTGTTAAGTCATTTTTGAATTTCCTTCCAAATTACTGATCTTTTGCAATATGCCCTTTTATGTGAATGTAAAATTATAAATGATGATTTTAGTTTCTCCTATTAAAGCATGTTTATATAAATTTGGTATTAAATCTTAAGGTGTGCTGTCTTGGATGATGATAAATTGTAAATTTTAATTATTTTAATTATATGAATGGATTAAAGCCTATTTGTTATTAATCCTAATTTTAACTGTTTTAAAAATTGCTTGAAGAATGAAAATATTTCTATAAATAAAAACTGTGTTCCTCACATTGTTTTTGAGCATTTCTATTAATGGTCAACCATTACATAGACTATACTGAATTTGAATTAAAATTAAACAACATACGGCAAATAATATTTTTGGCATCTTTCGGGGCCTGCATCAAGTGTTGATTGTTACAGAACGTTGCGTAATGATCAATGCTTGATGCAGGCCCTCCAAAAGAGACCAAAAATTCAAATTTCTGGCCTTTTTCTTGGGACAATTTGATTTCAATACATATTATTTGCTGGAAGACTCTATACATGGTGTTAAGTTTTAATTTGTGTACATTCAGGCTTTTGGTGACTTGTATGTTATACTTAATTCATTTGCAAAGAAATATTTGAAGGAATATTTTATAGAATTTATGTATTTTAGTTTGTTTTTCTATCTTTGTTTTACAATTGAATAACCCTACTGAGGTTTGTTCCTAAAAGTAGAATGTAAAGTCATATATACTATAAATGGTCTTTAAATTATTAAATATTGGTTTAATAATTTAAAGTTTAATATGCTTTTTTTAAATATAATGTAATGTTTATATATTTTGATTTAAAATCCTTTTTTGAGAACATGATGAAATGCTTTTATTGAAAATTGGTATTAATTTGTTATAATATTAAAAATATACAATGTTATTGCAAAGTCTCTTTGCAGTGGCTTCAGCCATACCAATATAGCTTAGTCAAGTGCTGATGTTGAAACTTACTTTAACTCTTTTGACATCCAGTCTGTTGTTACTTTAGTTTGTTCTAGAAGCTCCTCCTGTTTTCCCACTCACTGCAAAAAGATTTTAAGATTGCACTGTAACTATGTCTTTCAACCTCTGCATATAGACAGTCTAGAATGCCTTTGTTTGTTTTAATAATAAAAAGAATTATAGTAAATACAGTAAAGGCTGGTATACACGGTAAGGAAATCCTTTGAGGATTAACCGTGATTTTTTTTTCTATCTATCCATTTTTAAATAAAAATAATTCTTTATACGCTGGGAGATATTTTAATAAGTTTTGTAAATTACTATGTTCGATCCAGCCAGTTATATCCAAGTTTTTTTCGTCTGTTAAGCACATCCTTTGAGGATTTCCTTATCATGTATACCAGCCTTAAGAGAAGGTGGCAGTATTCAAAAATTCAACTAATTTAATACATATTTACTAAGCAATTTTTGCAATTAAAGAACATTTGGAATAGCACTAAGAACTTTCACACTTATTGTGCTATTATAAATCAAATATGTGTGATAGAAAATGAAGCATTCCTCTATAAAGCACCAAATATTTTAGAATGTTTAGTGTGTTAGTTATAAAACATTGATTTAAAATATTTAAAGCAACCAAAGCCGAATTAATGGGCTAGAAGCGGCTATATTGATGATAATAATTTAAGATAATTTGGAATTAGAGTTAGGCGTTAGGCGTCATCACATGTCAAATTTAATAATTATAATTTTAATTAAATAATTTAAACAAATTTAGAATTAACTGGAAGAAAAGAATCGGCCCGGAACGGGACTCGAACCCGCAACTCCTTTTTACCGTGCAGATGCATTGCCAATTAAGCAGGAGTTGCGAGTTCGAGTCCCGAAGTTTATTTAAGTTATTTAATTAAAATTATAATTATTAAATTTGGCATGAGATGATGCCTAACGCCTAACTCTAATACCAAATTATCTTAAATTATTTATTATTATTATAGCTGCTTCTAGCTCGTTAATTCGGCTTTGGTTGCTTTAATGTTTATCGAGCTAGCTGATGCTTGTTTATATATATTTAAAATATTTAGATAACAGAATGATGATAAATTGAACTAACTCTGTTATCTATAATATCAAATGATGTTAACCAAGTTAAATTATTGAAATTGAATAAGTAACAAAAGCTGATTTTTAGTTTTTACACAATAATCTTGATGCGGTAGCTAACTCCTTCTCAGTTTAGTCAATAGTGCCTATATGCAGTATATAATTGAAGCATGCAATGCCATAATCTTGTAAATGCCAAAAAACAAAGTTTTCAGGAGAGATAAAAAAAAAACACTTTTTCTAGTGAATGAATTCCTTGGCTTCATAAATTTCTTGCTCTACTTTAAGATTAGAATATTTTGCCTATATAATGTATGATATAAAAACACATTTTAATATATTAAAGTTAAGATGCAATTATTTCTTTGAACTATTGTTATACAGTTAATTTTTTATCATATTTATAGGTGCTGACAGTTTTATGTAGCCGTCATATTTATTATAACATAATTTCTGAACGCAGTTGTAAAATTTCACGTATTTAAATGTAATTAAATTAGTTTAAATATATATATAGTTTTTTTGTTTTAAAGATAATTGTTTATATTAAATAGACTCAATCCTTGTAGGTTGAAAAATGATGATAGCGAAGACGACGACGGAGGTTTGAAAGAACAAAAAGAATTCAAAGTAAATTATTTAATTTACTTTAATTGATATTGATAAAGATTTATAAATTAATTCTAATTATATTTAACAAATAATGATGTTTTAATGAAAATGTTATAGAAATATATTTTGATTTACATACAAATGAATTTAAATTTAATATTTTTTTATTCTCTTATATGTAATTTTAACACGTTAGCCATCATCTAATGCGCCAGTGGTTGTACTAATTAGGGCTGTACAGAGCCATATGACTGCCGGCTGTCAAACCACTTCACGAGGCAAATGACGGCTTGTAGTCGGAGCCAACTTTATAGATGTGCGTAGGAGGCCACTACTAGTATGTAAAACTACATTGATTATAGCAACATCATGCGGTCGGATGGCTCTGTATGGCCCTAATTAGTACGACTGCCGGCAGTTAACCTGTTAATACATAATTAATATATAATTTTAATTTTAAACATAATTTTACTTATTTTAATAAAATAAATATTTTCAACAGAAGGTATTTGTTGAATGATAAATCAGACTCAGACATTGCGTTATTTTTAAAGTGTTAGAAAAAATTGATTTATTTGATGACATTGAGGATTTCTTCTTCATTCGTACCTAGAATATGCAAATTTCTATAAAAATTACTGTTTAAATTTAGTTTTCATTTTTTACTTTTAAAACTTCGATTGATCATAAGTCTTAGACAATGTCTTCGTCAAAAAGGATAAGAATGAACTGTGACGATGTTATTTCTTCAATATTTTGGTTGAATTCTGCTAAATATAGGAATTCCTCGGAGGCAATATGATTCATCTATAATTTAACCATAAAGGGAATTCAACAGTTGCGATCTTGCCAACTTGATAACTTTGTATTAATTTGCATCTCTTATATATTAGAGAACGTAAAAATACAATCAGCATTACATTACATTAAAAGAGTAGAGAGGTTGTCTGTATGTGCACAGACTTTACCTGTAAGAAATTAGAAGTGATGAAGTTGAAATTAGGAGAGAAAGTGATTGTAAGTAGGGAGGGAAAGATTGAAGGGACATGTCGGATTATTGAGCGTCTGCATCATAATTGTTGAACAAGTAAAAATACAGTGACAAGACAAAATATGTTCAGTGAAACAGTATAAAAACAAACATGACAAGTTTGTGAGTGTGTACAGCAAAGGGGGTACAGACACAATGTTTTAATAGTTGCAAAGTATGCGATTTGTATACAATCAGCAGAAATTAGATCAAGGCAGTGCTAAAACACACAAAGAAAAGTGAGATCGCGATAATACTGGGAAATTTCAATGCAAAAGTTGGACAGGGCAAGGAGATAACTATTGTCGGACCCCATGGTCTTGGAGAAAGAAATGAAAGAGGGACTCACCTCGTACAGTTTTGCAAAGAGGAGAATATGGTGATCACCAACAACTGGTTCAAACTGCCTCCCAGAATTCTTTAACCTGAAAATCTCCAGCAGATAGACCAGATAACATCATCAGAAATCAAATAGACTATTCTGATAAATAAAAGATTTTGTAGCAGCATCACTGCAACCAAGACCTATCATCAGACCACAACCCATTGGTTTACCACCAGCATCTATGACATAAAACTGGCCATGACATTACCATCCTTAAAGATATATAGCAAGTACAAAGAGCAACAATAAGACAGACAGTACAAGAGGAATTAGAAAAGATGACAACATATCAAGAGAGAACATCTGTAGAAGATAAATGGAAGAAATTAAGAGAGACATCCAGAAAGTTAGCAATAAGCATTTCTGCAGAAGAGAATGAAAGAACAAGAAGAAAGAATGGATGATTGATAATATAATCCACTTAATGGATTTAAGAAGAACTTTCAAAAATTGAGATAAAACCAAATATGATGAAATACAAAAGATTATCTGATGAGAAATAAGAACTGTAAAGGAAGATCATATTACTGAATTGTGCACAGATAGAAGAATACCAGAAAAACACGATTTCTTCAATTTGCTCAAGATCAGAGAGACTATTGGGAAATGCAGGCAAAAAATATGTACATTACTTTGAAATATGGATTTACCAAAGGCTTCTACGAGTATCCTGGTTAGAACATGTGACCAATGTAGAAATATTGCAATGAATGGAAAAACATGAACTGTTCAACGCCATTAAACAAAGAAAGTTGGAATACTTCGGCCACATGATGGTGTCAAGTACTGAATCCTACAACTCATTATACAACTGAAAAAAGAGGACCAGGACGACATCGAATCTCATGACTGAGAAACCCAAGGGAGTGGTGTGAAATACCTTCAGAACTGTTGAGAACAGCTAGCAATAGGAATATGATAGCCATGATGACAGGCAACATCCAAAACTGATAGGGCACCAAAAGAAGAAATCTTGCTGCATTTTTTTTAATCAGATTGTAAAGATGAAATTTAGACATTTTGATTTTTCCTAGAAAAGACTGGAAAAAAATAATTTATAACATTTGATATGGGTAAATAAGTGTAGTAACCAAAGGGCATTTCATCACATATTTCATTGGAAATAGACACATCAGCAATGTCTGATAATACAAAACTTTCAAAAGAATATATTTGCATGCTGTCTCTATTACTTCAAAAGTGGCCATAATGCAGTTATGATTCAGAGTCTCACTTGCAAAGCATTTGTAAAAGCATTTGTGAGTAAACAAAAGTCAACCAGCTGTTACAAATGTTAAAGGGCAAATCATGCAGAAGAAGGTAATGATCTATATTTGTTTGGCATCATCACAATGGAGCCAACTAACATCACTATCATAAAAGAACTTTACTGTAAACAACTGGATTATTTGAACACCAAAATCTTCACCAAGGACTTCTTCCAAAAATTGACAAAGTCCGATGCTACCATGACAATTTGTAAGAATATACAGCAAAGATGACTAGAGAAGCTGACCAGTCTGGGTGTGGATGTTCTACCTCATCCACTTTACAGCCCAGACTTGGCACAACTGACTATCATTTGTTTTGTGTCTTGCTATTGAACTGTATATTGCCAATATACAGTTCAATAACAACACCAATTATTTGTAATTTGGAAATGTTAAAAGTAGAATGTTTGGTTATAAGATGAATTTTATTATATTAAGATCAGAAACATTTCATTGATTATATAAGGTATTTCCCTTAAACACCTGTAGTTTTGTGGATTAAGTTTGGAAAAGAAATGTGAGTATAATACTGTAACACAGTAGTGATAGAAAGTGCATCTGATAAAGTCAGTTATTACTCGTACGTTAAATCAGTACATTTCTACAAATACTCTTGATGTGACAAGTACCTCTTGTTACATTATTCCTCTGGCAATAAATATATGTACACCTCATTCACGGTTGTTATAAATGGTAAAAAAACTGAACTTGTTTGCATTTGAAATTAAACTTGGTTAATAAAGTACTCTATTTGAGCTATGGATGACTCAATCACTGTAACAGACATCTCCATACATTCCTAAAAGCATTATTCCTCCAAAAAATTGGAGGCAATAAATTTTTGCACACTTGGAATTTGCATATAATTACCACTTTGTGGGTCCTCCCTTTTTAGCATAAATGTCAGCAACTCACCTAAGCATCAGTGTGACATAGGCATGGCAAAGATACTGTGGAATGTAGTCCAAACTTCTTGAAGAACCATCTTCAACTGATCTTTTGTATGAGGCTTGCATTTTTGCACCTCTTTCTTGAGGACAAGTCAAAAGGTCTTTGATTGGTGTTCAGATTGAGAGAATTTGGAACTCAGTCCAGGACTTGGACTCAATTTTGTAAAGCCAAGCACTATTGGAGTGTGCAGTATGCAGCTTTGTGAGGTCTTGCTGGAAGAGTGCATTTTCCTCTAGCCAAAGATGAACCATAGAAGGCAGAAAATGCTGTTGAAAAGTTGCCTTGTAGCATTGTACATTGACAGTCCTATCATATGGAACCAAATCACTAATGCCAGAATACCTAAAACACCTGCCACACTTAAATTGTGCTCAGAAACTTGACTTCCTGCTTCACACGGTTTTGGGTAAGTCCTTTATTTGGCCGATAGATGACTCTACATCTGAAATTTTCATATAGGACTGGAAAGTGCGACTCATCAGACCGAATCACCCTCTGCCATCCAAGGCAGGTGGTCTCTAGTCTATGCAAACCACTTCTTTTGATGAATTGGCATCAATGTAGGCTTTTGCTTACTCTTGTACAAATTGTAATCCATGTCACGTTTATAAGCCATACATACAATATAGCCTTTAAGAATAAATTTTTAAGTTAATTTAATTTAAATAAATGAAATTTTAAATAAAATTAATATGATGATGAATGTTTTTAATATAAAAATTAAAAAAAAAAATTGTTTTAGGCACTGATAACAGAAGCCGACCCAAAAGAACATAAACTGCAGTTTACGTATGGTCTTTGGTTTTCACGACGTTCTCCTGGAAAACAAGGCAACATACAATCGTACGATCAGACATTAAAACTTGTTGGGGTTTTCAATACAGTAAGCAGTTTTAAATTAGTAATTTGTTAAAACATTTTTATTATTAACAATTCTTTCGAGCAGTAAGAACATCTTAACAACTAACATTTTCAGTCTTATTAAGAAATCATCTTCGGATTTACAAATATTCCATTAAACAATGTAATTCAAGTGTTTGGTTTTGGGAATATCAAATTGTAACAAAAATGAAATACGATAAAACAACATAAATAAATACAATAAAAACATAAAATAAATAAATGTCTCCCTGAACTCAAGGATAGAGAGAAATGTACCATTCTCTCTGTTTGTAAGATAGTTAATGGATGGCCACAATGTACTGATTTATATATTTCCAGGGATTCTGTGTGTAAAATGTGATGTTTGTTCCTGACATTTAAAATGTATGGCATTCCCAAAACCTATATTCTATTTTCTCACATTCTGAACTGTTAGATTAACAATGTCTGATGGAATATATATATTAGAACACCTTAATTTTGCTGAGAATTATATATTTTAAACACAAACGCTTTCAACCTGATTAACAGGCCATCCTCAGGTCTAAAAAAACGAAAATGGAACAGATACGTTCCATGTATAGAATATAAATATTTAAATCAAAATTTAGAACAAAAATTTTAAAAATATACAATAGAAACAGAATAAAATATAAAAGTAACCCAAAATAAAATTAAAATATACAAGAGAATATATAAAAATAACAC